TTTTTTAAACTTACTATTTCTTCTCTTTAGCTACATAAATCTCTGCTATTATTTGCATCTGGAAATAGCAGTGTGGATTTAGAAGGCAAAATGGATCTAAGAACATAGCTTCGGTTTGCGAACATTATTGCATAATGGCATTGGTAATGCTTGTAGACATCACACTGGTCCTGGGCATCCTTTAGTTTTCTAAGCATTGTGGGTGTGGAGCTGGTGCTGGAATGATGGAGGTAGGATTCAAATCAAGGTCCCCCTAAAGGGACCAGGGCCTGTGTTCTTAACCACTGCTCTGTTCTGCCTCTCTCTTATTTGAATCATCTCTTTTTTTTCAGGCAAATTTGACCATCCCTTTTCTATGCTGCCTAATATATCTACTCAGCACATCTCATACCTCATAACCTCTAAGTCAGAGGCCAGTCTTTCCCACCCAGTTCATGAATTCCTTGGAAGCAAACTCTTAAATAATCATTATACCTAACACAATGCTTGGCACAAAGCAAGTATGCAATCAATGTTTAGAAATTTGTTTTCTTTTTTTGAGAGTAATTAGGTTTATTTATTTATCTATTTATGTTAATGGAGGTACTGGGGATTGAACCCAGGACCTCGTGCACACTAAGCATGCACTCTACCCCTGAGCCCATATCCTCCCCCCAGTTAATGTTTAATGAACAGGTGGATATTATAATTCTTCTCTCCAAACTCTTTTATCTAGCCACGTACACGTTTCCCACTAGCATGTCTACCAGAAATCTCAAACTTACCATGTCCAAACCATACTCCTGATATTCCTGGAAAGATAAGCTTTACCTAACAGTCTTCCCATCTTAGTCAATGGTACGTGATTTCTTCCATTCACTCAGGCCAAGACCTTCGAGTGTTCTTTAACTTGTCTTTTTCTCAACTCTCACATCCACCAGGAAATTCTGTTAATTCTACTTTAAATATGTAATTTGAACCCCACCACTGCTCATCAATTTCACTGCAATTATTCTCAAACTATGCTCATCTTTCACCTGGATAACTGTATGACTCTGCCAAGGGTTCTCCCTCTTCCATCTTTGCTCCCCTACAATCCCTTCTCACATGTTTTTTATAATTGTAGGGAGATCATGTATCAATTCTCTGAATAATAGCATCACTATTTTATTTAGAATAAAAGCCCAAGTTGTCCCAGTGGCCTGTAAAGACCTCTGTGACTTGCTTCTCCTCATTATCCCTCTAAACACATCTCCTGTTTCTCTCTCCCTCACTCTCTCTGCTCCAGACTCACAGGTCTCCTCGCTGCTTCTCAAACATGCCATGCACAACCTTGTCTCAGGGACTTCGCCCTTGCTTACACGGATTTGCAGATTACCCCCAAATCTTATCTCCTTTCAGACCTTCTTTCCCACAACAGATCCACTGCTCCCTTCCGATAAACTAGAGCTGCCTCACACGCGACAGAACCCAAGCTGAGCAGACCACCTTCCTCTCATGCTTTTTCCTTTTCCTGTCTTTCTAACTCGACTAAAAATGTCGCCTGTCACCTAGATCCCCACAGCTCTCTGTGTGTGTTGTGTGTCATTCATCTTTGCACCCTCTAGTTTACCCCCAGCTCTTGGGACGTGCGATTTGTTGAATGAATTAGTGAATAGACAACAGAGCCCATTACAGTGCCCAGTACGTGGAGGTACTCAATGAGTGTTTGTTACACAAGTGAACAGATGAAAACCATTCTAGGGAACAAGCAAGAGCAAGACTGCTCTCGATATTTCTGTAAAGTGAGGGGGCATTTTGACCACCTGGTTGATCACTGCTGAGAAGGTGTTTGATCTCATTTCCCCTTATCAGTTTGCAAGGAAAAAGATACACAAAAATGCTTCGTTCCCTGTGTAGACAGGACTCATCTAAGGACGCGGAGCCTTAAAGCATTGACTCCGTCTACTTGCTCCATCTTACATGTTATTGTTGACATGTATTTTAATTTTCAAGACACTATTTTTGCTTCATACAACCACTGTTGATTTATATTTATCTACATATCTACTTTTCTGTAGCTCCTTACTTACTGTATTTCTATATTTCTAGCTCTTAATATTGCCAAAGGTTTTAGTAGTCTTTTCAAAGAACCAGCTTTTTTCCTTTATAAATTTTTTTGGTCATTACTTTCTGTAGTACCTCCCTTCTATATTCTTTAGTTATTTAAAAAATTCTTAAGCTGATAATTTAGTTCATTTTTTAGCTTTTCCTCTGTTGTAAACCTCTCAGTACCATTTTCACTGCATCCTACAAGTATCAAAATGCGATATTTATAATTTTAGTTCTGAGTATTAGTAAATTTCCATGTGACCTCTTCTTGGAAGCAAGAATTATTTATATATGGACACTCTAAAGTCTCCAAACATATTATAACTTAAAATTGTTATGGGATCTCAAATAAAAAATATTGTGGTCTGGGGACTTCATCTATATAATACCCTTTGCATTTGTTAACTTTATTACACTATACACTAGCGATTATTTTAAATGTTTTACCTCTTTTTGAGAATATCTGTTCTATACCTGTGAAGTATGGATCTTCACTGCCCGTAAGTTATTAAATTACGTTGTGTAAATATGTAGCCCGAATTTACTGGATTCTACTCTAGTTTGAGGCCTAAGTTCCAGATAATAAAGATCTATTTCGCCTTTATCTTTTTCCACTTAATTTCTCTTGGGACTCTGTGGTGGAGAAGAGGCTGAATATTCCTTGGCTACTCCCATACTAACGGCCAGATACTCTTTTATCATTTTAGTTTCATAACTTTGTTAGCAAATCACTTTATTTTCAACAACCTAACTTCTCTAAGCTGTCGATTAACTTAGACTGTCTTATATCTCCCTCTAAATAATATCTTTAAAATCTCGCCTTCTTCCTCCTCGCTTTTATTTTGCCAGGTATTCAAGAACCCCGGGATTCAGCCGCTCACAGGACCCAACGAGGACCCACCATGGTGGTGAGAGCACCCTGGGCTCCTGCACCCACACGTTCAGCCGTGCGGCTTCCTGCTCGCTCCGGGCTCCAGCACCTGCCCTGCTGCCGCCAACTGTGGTTCTGCTCGTGTTCGGACACAGGAGACAGCACGTCCCTCCAGGAACCTCAGAAAACACGGTAATTTACAAGACACCGTAGATCTGGTGTCAGCGTGTAAAATGTTGCACAGGGTTCAGCACTAAAAGGACTATTTGATTTTCCAACACCCTGGACCATCTCTGTTTGTTTTATGTCTAATTCTCTTGATAGTGCAATAATACAGATAAATCAGTGAATTAAAAGTCAATTTGTTCTGTTAGCTCCAGAAGTTTATCAACCTCCATAAATGGTATGATCTAGGAGAAATTACCTTTGGACACTGAGGCAGCTCACCCAGGACAAACCTTGGCTCTACGGCTCAGAAAATCCTGCATATTAAGACAGTCTCTTCTGCAAACTCCAGACTCAGATCTTACCTCAGTTCCACCTGTGGCTCTGCTAAGCATGCAAGCCGCCTCTACCCTCACGGAAACCTATGCTGTCCTCCAAGATGCCTCTGTGTGAATGAATCACCTTCAGAAACACCAGGAGACTGAATGGGTAAAGTGGAAAGCCCCAGAGACCAGCCAACTTGGCTGCTGGTGTTACTTCTTTTTATTTCATGTGTGCATACTCCCAGGACAAGTTGTCTGGAGTTAAAACCAACCAGCTGACTAGAATGTCATTACTGACCAGAATGAGAATTCCCTTGTTGAGCTGTTAGCCTGAGGTCTTGCTAGCCCACCTTTGCTCCTGTGGTGAACACTGGCACGTAACGGGTAGAGACACAGAGCAGAAGAAACCAGGCACAGGAAACAGCCTCCCTTCTCGTGCTTTAATCCCATACCCTGTGCTCCATCTATGGAGGTTGGCCCCCCCAGGCCTTGCCACGCCCACAATCAGAGCAAGTGAGGTTTGCAATTTTTCAGCCTCGTCTCCATGGGACCTTTACCAGGCAACAGAGATCCTTGGGCCGTGAGACACTACTCTTTAGTTCTTAATTATGTGAAAATGGACTCACATAAGAAAAAGCAGACAACACAAACACTTGAAAGCCATTTACTCCTGGTAAATTCTTCAGGGTCCCAGGCTTCCCTGCTGTCAGAGTGAGGCGGGGGTGACGGGGGAAGGTGTCAGGAGAGCGGTCTTGACGGCTCTGGCCAGCAGCAACAGCTTTTTCTCGATTTTTCCATAATTGGAGCTCAGGTCTTCTCCAGTTTTCTTCATGAAAATGAAGGGACCCATC